TTTCAATAACATCAACATTGTGTACAGATGGCTCATTGCTGACTCATTTCTCACTCATTTAGATGCACTGCAGAGATGTTACTCTATATTACTTGAAAAAGCAATTGTATAGCTCGATTTTTGTAAAAAAAAACAAAAGAAGCTTCACTGAAGACAGACAGCCTTAAAACAGTACTCAAGAGATAGGGTGGTAGAAAAAGCCCATATAATATGCAGCACTCAGTACAGGAGACAGACAATTTCTGATAAAAAATAATTTAGTTAAAATCAGAATTAATTCTATCACCATCTAGAGAGTCAGCTTGCATTATACATATATATAATATTTTCTTTACAAACATTAACCTGTGTTAATATTAATGAATAAGCAAACAATAGCCCTATTGAAAAATGAAGAGAACCAGAATACTGGGCAGATAAATCCTGGTCAGTTCACAGGTTGAAGCAGGGGGCAGTGACGGAGGCCACAGGACAACACCCACGTGAGTCACACCATAAACTGGAGCACAAAAATGAACCAATTTCATAGAATCCTAAAGCATGGTTTTCACAAATAAATTCTGACACAGTGGTGAGGTCAGCAAAACATAGCGCAGGAACAAATGCCTGGAGAAAAACAAATACTTTTGAAATCTGCTTCACGGGCAAGAGCAAGACGTCACTTTTAGCTAAAGCCTGAGGTCAGGAGGTACAGCGGGATCTCTGCTTGAAGCCTTGGACTGTGCCCTCCTTTTGGGATTGCTGCAGGTCTAGTAGGACACTGAGGACAGAAAAAAGCACAAAGTTCACAGAAAGGTGGGATACAAGTGAGAGGGCTCGGGAGAGAGAGGTGGCCGGGGCAGGAAAGAGGAAACAGGCTGCTGAGGGAAGGAAGCAAGGAGGAAAGCAGGGCTCAGATAAAAAAGGGGGGAAAAACATAGCTAAACAAATAAAAAAGCAAAAAAGGATAATTTAATTTTGCAAATGTGTAACAAAACAAATCTTCCTTTAAAAAAATAACAACAACAAAAAGAGAAATAGCAGTTCTGTTGTTCCTTGCAGGGATTCACTACAAATTGCCAGAATTGCAAATATATTCCCATGCTTGGTGTGCAATCAATGTTTTCCTCTGCAATATTTAATCTCATTTATCAAGCTGCTTAGTACAAATTAGGTTACAAGGTAATCAATTAGATTGAAAACACAGCTTGTTTCATTGTTTTAATTTTGCACTGTAAGCATATTCACCCTAATTTAACAATTAGCTAATCGAAAACCATGAAGTGTTTATGTAGCTTGGCTTTTTGTCATTCAGATTCCTCTCCCGGATCACTTCAAGTGCATCAGCCAGTGGAGTCCCAGCTACAATTTCAAAAGCCTGGCAGAAAAAGCAAGCAGGGAAGGAAGAAAGGAACATGTAGAAGCCACGATGTGCTGCTGGGGTTTGAAAAAGGAAAGGGGGACTCCAGAAACCGCTGCTCATTTCCAGATAAAATAGACAAACTTAAGGGACTGCAGCCTGTTTCTCAAGGGACGCTTTCTAAGAGGACTTCTGCAGAAGCCACTGTTTAAAAAGGTTAGAGCAGCGTGGATGAGGCACTCAGAGGAAGCTGCAGCTGCTCTCTGTAGATTCCAAAGGTTTTCCCATGATATGGGGGATGTATCAACGGTGACGAGTGCAGAGTCCCTCAGATGGGACATTGCTGCCTGATGGGAAAGACGACAGAACTGGGTGGGTGTTATTTTAATTGCCGTGAGCTGGGACGAATTGCTCTATTCTTTACAGAAAAATAATATTTACTGTATAGTAATAATCTGGATACAACACTTACCCTCTTTTTGCCTGAGTTTATATCTATTTTTTCTGCAGTCAATGTCTTTCTATGTTCTGGTGATTTTAACCAAGAGATAATTAGAAAAAGTGTATAACTGGGAGCCTGTTCTCTGATTTTACAGAGGTGAAGTTTTTCGTTTGTCTGAGTTCATTGGTGTTTGGTTTTTGGTGGGTTTTTGTTTGGCTGACTGGTTAGTTGTTTGTGTTTTTTTTTAATTTGCTTGGTTTCAAACTTTTGATTTCTTTTCAGTAAATTGAGAGATCGAAGTTATTTTCAGAGAAGTCCTTCCTTAGCCGAGCAAGTCAACATTTCCTGACCACCACAGAAGACAAGGTGAAAACCATCCCAAATGATCCCAAGCATGTACCTGCAGCCTGAATGCTGGTAAGAACAGGAGCGAATATAAGAGAAGTTGCTCTCCTGACCCACAAATGACCAAGCAGGTGAGAGAAAGGAGCGACCAACGTGACACTAGCTGGGGGCAGAGGAGCACAGGTTCACCCCTTGTCTGGTCTTTTCAAGGGCATCCTGAGCAGTAGCAGGAGGAGGCAGCAGAGTGACAGAAGTGGGGCGAAGCGTGCTGCTGAGCACGGTCACGGACTGACAGATGAAACATTATTAGACTTCCCTTGTGTGACCGACTGCAATGTCTTAACACTTACACATGGTAATGTGACCAGCGTTTGTTTCCAGCTGTGTTTAGGTGGAAGCGGTCCAAGAGGAGTGCCAAACCTCCCTCTGTCCCTAAAGCCGGCTCTCCATGTTCAGTGAGCAAAAGCCAGACACCTCCTCTCTCAAACGTAATTTCTGCCTGTCTAGGCAACGTGGTTTTCTGCAATCACGTATAGGATCTAGAACTAAAAGTGTGTGTACTTTGCACTATATTTCCAACTTAGACGTACTAAACACGTAACAGCCCATTAACTGACTGAGGCATCTTCAGTGCTCTTCCTGATTACAGGAAGGGAACAGCTAGATAACATTATAAGCTCTAGTTATATATTTATTAGTTTATCTGCCCAAAAAGGCAAGCAATAAAAATCTGATTTCTGGCCAGTGAGGACAGGTTTTCATTGAAACAACTTTGCTACCAGATTTATTTGCTATCGTCCAGCAACAATGGACTATAACATGGGAATGGGCTTCAGGACAAAATTTGTTACGTAGAACTGAAGTCTACAAAAATACTTCTCATACACATAGCAATATCCTTTGCATTAACTTTATGAATGCACATAATAGCTACAAGTGAAGTGCCTGGGAATGTAGCTGAAATGTTCTTCCTCTGTTCCCATACACAGAGGCCCAGTCCTGTATGCAAGTAAAACACTTCTCCAAGAAGCATACACTGGGAAATTCAAATTAATAGAAGGCTATACTTCAATTGATTCTGTGGTCAAAAGAATTGCGCTCTATCTGCAGAGCGCATGAAAAGGCTATCGGTTTGATACGTGAGTGCAAATGCAGCAAAATTATATGTCTTAAAAGAGAGAGTCCTCTCAGCTGCTCACATAAAAAGCCAGGAAGCAGCAAGATATAAACAGATGGTCTTGAGGTTTTCCAATTACAAATCTTTTTGGCAATATACAACTGGAGGAATTCCAAACTTTTGTCACTTTGACACCGCTTTGCAGTAAGTAATGGGATTTTGGTACTTACAAATTCTGAAACACGCTGCAATTTGAAGACCAAACCCAGCTATGTGAATCAAAATTATCACTCCAGGAGTTAAAGCCACATTTTAGAATACGTACCAATCTAACAGAAGCATCTCAAAAGGAATAAGGAAAACTATTTTTAGTTGATGCTTACTTACAGATTCACTAAAATTTGGCAATAGAGCCAGAAGATATAGTGACTTTGAGTAGGCTGGGCGTGCTCACACTGTTGTTGACACTGTAAAACTGAAACTCATCACCAGATAGGAGGCAGATTGCTAAAGCAGCGGCCTGCCAGATGAAGAAATCCTCCTTTTCTCAAGGCAGCATTACCTGCAAATGATTGTCTCAGTTTGCAAGACTGCAAACAAAGGAACTTGGAAATATGCATTCCCCCATTTTTTTGTTGTTTTAAATTTTTTTAAAGAACTGCAATTCCTTAAACATTCAATGTGAAAGGATATCTCATTTTATCATTTCCAAGTCTCATTCCTAGTAGGTTATCAAAAAGGGATTACCTAGCACTGGGGTACACAAAAGATGTATGAACAGAATTGAGTGGGCATCTCACACAGGAGCTCAGAGCAGTGTGTGCCTGCACCTGTCTAAAACAAAGCTAGCTTTAACATTTGGATAATAGTAGCTTTTGGAGCTCGCAGGTTTAGCGCTGTTCCCATTTTGACCTACCAAAGAAAGTGGAAGCAAGAGCCTGAGCTAATAATTTCATTAAGTAGTAATTTTGATGCATAAATCTTCCCTTTTTGAAAGGGGAGAAAAAAAATCCTCTTTCCTGCATTTTGAGAGAAGGGAAAAAAAGTAATTTACAGCACTAAGTTAATATTATAAATATAAATTTAAAGAGTATTAGTTGCTCCTGGTTCTTATTTTACATTAGGCAAATTAACTACAGAACAGCACGCTCGATTCCACAGATGTAGGTACCACTGCCTTCATATTAAAGTGCACTCAGAACCCTATCAGACTTAGAAGAGCAGCCCAGGTACAGAAACACATTTGCCTACCCCCATCAAGTTATTCTTCCAGGTTATTCCAGTGTGGAAACTGAAAGAAAGCTATAGAAATCATTGGGGAATGTAATAACAAAGGAATAAGAGGAAAAGAGCGGGCATTTAATTTAATTCTGAGTGATACCAAAAGTTCTTTCAGAATCTGAATTTTGGCTTGGGTTTCTAAATGATCCTGCTCAATGCAAAACCATGAGGAAACAAATTTTAAATTTATTACAGCAATGCTAAAACTAAAAACATATATGAGAAGACAGTACTTACCACTCAACAGAAAACAGTACTAACAAATCTTCCCCAAACCAGAGCTAATGCTTTCTAACATAACCCAGACCATGGCTATAACTTCAAAATCACAGCCCATACAAACCAGAAACAGAAAGAGTTGCTCGAGTTCATTAGGCTAGTCAGAAGACATTCAAAATTAGGACTTCTGCCCAATGATGTGAATTTTTAATACGAGAAACCTGCTTGCAAATTCAGAAAACAAGACCTGTGCTTACTTGTTATTGGTGGGTCCCGTTGCCAAGACATCCGACTGCAACTTCGGGAAAAATCCTTGCTCATACTTCCCTTGGCCGATCTTCATATCCAGCAGGTGCGGGTGGATGGCCGTGTGATCGATCTTCATCAGCCGCTGCTCGATGGATTGGGCTGCAAGTTACAGTCACAGGTGAACAACTGTGTTAGTGAACCGCCCGCAGACACATGCTACAGCAACAGAAGTGGTCATGCTCCAAACCCTGAAAATGCGTCTAAAAAGTTAAACGGTGACTTTAAGACCCAGAAAACCATCACTTAGAGAAGCGAGGAAATGCCTGCGCTGTTATTTTGTTATTTCACTTTTAGTTTCTTCACCCGACACAACTAGTATTGGCAAGAAACGTCAGCTGTTAAGCAAGCAGGTATTTATGGGAGCCTGTGAGATAGGCTGTGAATTGGTAAGAGCGGTGCAAACTTCCCCTGAAATTCACTATTTGGCTTTAATGCTCCTTCTGCAGGACAGAGACCTCTGAGGCTGGCTGCAAACTCTGCGGGGTCGGGCACCCCGCTTTGCCCCAGGCATGCCTCCCAGGGTATGGGGGACACACAGCCGAGTTTTGCAAGCATCTGGCACCTATAACGATCCTCCTCCTGAAATTAGATAACACCATTGCTGAGTGACAGGCCTTCAAAAAGCACAGCTAACTGTAGCTCGTCCTGAGCAGCATCAAGAAGATGAGCAGATGCTCGGAAACAGAGGAGGCTGCTGCAAGACTTGGAGAAGGCTCCCTGGGAATGTCAGCTCCACTGAAATTAAAGTGGTTCGATTCACAGAATTATGGAATTGGAGAACATTTTGGTTGGAAGAGACCTTCAAGGTCATCGAGTCCAACATTTGTCTTAGCCCTACCAAAATCACTAAATCATGTCCCTCAGCACAACATCTACCAGCTGTGCTAGTTGTTTGCTTCGAGGACATGAGAATTCCATCTCAAATCTCGAGCAGGATGAAAATAAAACCTATCATCCAACACTGAGTCAGATGCACTGTGAAGGAGAGGGGAAAGAAGGTATACGGAGGGAATCAGCATTTAATTAGCAACTTTAATATTCAACTCTTTATAGCCCATCCATTAACAGGCAGGCCTGTTCTTTTCAGCGTATCTTGACTAGCAAATAAATACGCAAACTGCAGAAGCTAAATCCATTTTCCATTTGTAACGAAACAACACAGAACTAATTTCCTATTTTATAAAACTGTGAAGGGAAAGAAACTGTCATAACATTTACACACATTATCATTAGAAACTCAGTATGTTGGGTTTTTTTCCCTCTAAAAAACCCACTTCATATGGATTTATTTTGGAAAAAAGGACTGGGTAGTGTGAGGTCAGAGGGTTTAGAGGGTTCCGAAAATGGTAGGTTAAACAAACAGGTGCTGGATCGGTGCTAGGGTCACATATATTGTGAGTGGTAAATATGAAGGAAAGTTGATATTACTATCAGATGGCTGCTTTTCACAAGAGAGAAAATGAGGTTCCGGTGCCACAATATCTACCAAAACTAGACGTTGAATAGACAGTCGACCTGCAAATTAGAATTGGTTTTAGATAAAAGAAGTTAAAGCAGGCATAGGATTTCTATTTCTACTACTTTTGTATCAAGTAAACACCCTGAAAGAATTAAACGAAAGAAATAAAAAAAAAGGAAAAATGGGTTTACCCAAGTACATTAATATGTGTCCCAACAAATTTAAGAGTATAATTTCTCTGTATTGTTCATAAATGAAATAAATTCTTGTGCAGTGAGAAACTCAAGTATAATTTGAAAATGCGTCTGCATTGGAAAAAAAATCCAAGTTTTCACTACACAGTGTATTGTTCATTAACACTGAGCATCTATTCCTGGAGACACTGAATACGCCATACAGGATTACTTCCTCAGCATCCCCCACTGCTCTAACCAAATGGTGTAAGGCAAAAAAAGGTCTTTTTGCAAGAAGAGGGAGATGAGGCCAGTGGAGCAGACACCAGGGCTCAGCTCCTCAGCGTGGCTGGCACTGGTCCCACCACCACAGTGAGGGAAAGCTTTCCTGGCCATAGAACAGGAGCTCCCTGAAAGGAGAAATGGAGAGCCCAGCTCCGTGGTTTGCTCTGTGTTTATTAAAGGGACCAGTCTAGGAGAGCTCAAAGGGAATGTCATGGCTCCTGTTATTTTTAATGTTTAAAAGCATGCAGAAGTTTTTGCCCAGGATAAAATGACATCGCTTAGTCCTTCTCAGGCTTCCTCATCAGCTGGAACACTCAGATGACTGAGGACCTATATTTCTTTGTGGATGACATACTTTTGAATATTTTACTAGCCTGTCTGAACATACCTGCTTCTTTCAAAGTGCTGCATTTCTGATAGTTGGATGTCCGCAGTGCAGGGGCCCTTACATTATATAGCCTTATTTTCTCAATTCGGGAGTCAAAAACTCGCAGAAAAGGGTCCTTCTCTTCCCACTGGGAGATTATCTTATTGTCTATGAAGGTTGCAAACATCTGTGTTTCGATGAAGTGTGAAAGGAATGGGAGGTAAGGCTCAGGTTGGTCCGAAAGGAAGGAAGCCTGAAATACAGAACATCTCATTAGTGCCACATTTGCACCCCGTGTTGACACGACAAGCTGATCTGTGGCAGAGAACTGGTCCAGCAGGCTTGGACAAGGCTTCTCCACCACAAAAACACCTCTCAGGGAAGATAGGATCCAGCAACAAAGGGGTTTGGCTCACGGGTCATCTCTCTGGTCACAACTGTGAGAAATAAGCAGCTGAGAAGGCTTCGTGACAGCTACAGTAAAAGGCATATGGAGTTACTGAAGTAGTGCCTGGTGCTGCCAGGTTTTTCAAAGCAGCCTAGAAGCTACCACCTGCAAGAACGAGCCCTGCTGCAACCCCCAGCAGACCAGTACCATGACTTGGAACCTTGGGTCTGCACATACCTGCTTGGGACCCAATCACTTATTAAGGTGTTCTACGTATCAAGGGGTGCACGATGCTCTTCAGCTAAGAATCTTTTGTGAAGCTAAGCAGGACAATTAACAATGAAATTCCAATTCCCCAAGTCTCTGACTGAGTTTTGAAAACCCAAACCCTAACAGCCCATTCTGCTGTAGCAGTACTAGTGGAGATAGCCCAAACAACTCTCTCCTTTTGAAAGCTGCACTGCTCAATGCCTGAATACAAGATCAATAAAAAGCATGGCAGCATTTTTTTTAATCAAAAAAACAGAGTCAAATCAATATTTAGTCTGTTCCTGATGGTTTACCCTTGTAACATTTTCCCTGGAGAAGGACTTGTATCTTAAAAAGGTGATGGTTAAGAGTGCTATCTGCTTTGCAAAGTCACTCAGAAATAACAACTGTGCAAGCTTCCAAACGTTTCTCATTCCTTTGCTGGCCTACAGTCTATTTACTTCCCCGTTTCTAATCTCTGCTTGCTTTTAACTCTTGTACATACACTACAGGGAAGGCATAACAACACTTCTGCCATAACGATGTGATAACCTTCTGCAGAACAACACTACTCATGAACAAAATGCTCTTCTGTGAGATTAGGAATCATGAAAGACTTTGTCTTTTGTATCGTGAGTGCAACTCTCAGCATACAAAAAAAAAAAAAAAGGAAGAAAAAGAAGTCACTTTCCATTGTCACCTTTCCACCAAACCCACAGGAGAAGCCCCATCAGCTGGGCAGAAGTCTGCTGACTTGGTTTGTACAAGCCAGGACAGCTCTGACCAGACTCAGTGGATCTGCGCCGATTTACTTTGGCGCACGATCCAGCCCTGCGTAATCAAAACGGACAAATGTCTCAGCCAGGCAGATGAAGAACAGCAGATTAAAGAGTACTTAGGCTATATATATATGGCTATTCTCCCTCCCTCCTGAAAGCGCTTTCAGATGGAAAAACGAATACGCAGCTATCTTTACTTTGTCAAAGTTTTGCATTTGTTCCCTGTTTGTCAGCCACGACTCCATATCGGGGGCAGCCTGAATGACGAAAGCCTCATAGTCTGCGAACATCTGCGTGAAGCGATTGGCGAAAACCTCACGAAGCTGCACGTTCAGTTTGTAGTCCCTCAGCTCCACCTCCTCACATGGCAACTTCCCGTCCTTCTGCTTCTCTGTGAGGGGAGCCGTGATGGCCATTTTTTCCATCGTCACGCCCGTTCTTTTGGCGAGAGCTTGCAGGCGGGCGATCGTCTCATTGCCTTTCAGCAGCTCATACATGTTGAGGGCATTGCTGGGGATGTTGCCATTCTTCTTGTCATTCACCAGGTCGCTAAGTACCAGGTTCTTGAGTTTGGTGGCACTGTCACTACAGTGCAGGTTCCCCTCCGGTGGGATCCCAAACTGCAGGAGAACCTCGGAGATTTCCTGGATAAACTCCAGCTTGTTGGGGAACTGGGGGAATTCCTCTGGCAGTTCGATGAAATGGTTATCAATGTCTACAAAGCACAAGTTTGCCTGAAATACAAAAAGTTTCAAAATAAATTCAAAATGAAAGTTTCCGCAATGAATTGGCTCCTCTGCGAAAGCAGACCGATTTTCCCAGGGTGCTTCCAGACAGAAGGGTAAGAGCACACGTATGCATAAGAGTTTAGCTGTATTGTCGAGCCTGTGACATTTCAGACTTCTGTAAAGCTGAGAGCCAACTGCACAGCAATGATTTAACGAGCAAACAAAGCCTCCTGCCCTCTCCTGTTCCCCCAGGACTTGCAGATCCCAAACTTCCCACTACAATGATTTTGATAGCCCTTCCCAGATCAGCCAAGGGCACACCAGCAAGCAGGATGTGCAGCACCACTTCTCAGCCCACGTAAATACTCTTGTGTGAATTACCACATCTCAAGGGCACTTTTCTTTTACCAGGGTCCAACTGCAGGAAGCATCTGTAGCTGTGAGACCAAGCAACGAGATTTTCAGTGAAAGATGACATTGCTACAGGCAAAGCTACAAAAGAGAGTCCTGTGCAAATCCTTTGGGATCATGTCTGAGTGTTGCTTGTCCGTTGTGGGTCAAGCCCTACTTCCCCACTCCTCCTTATCCCCTGTTTCCATGGAGGCTTTTAATCTTGGCAATTCTTCTGCCTGAGAGCGCTCTTAGACAGCTTCGCTATGAATAGAGATGGATCTCAGCCCATAAGATTAAAGCTAAGTGAAGACATGAATCTAGCAGAGCAGATACTTTTACTAGGAAAGTGTCAATGGGGGGATGGAAGAACTCTACATAAAAATTAATTACATTGCAAATGCACCCTCAGGAATAATAGCAGAATGAAAAATAGTAATTGATCTTCTGAACTGTGGCTTACATCTGAAATTCGCTGTCTGAGTGCATCATGCTGAACAAAATCTTAAACCAGGTCAGATTCCCAAGGTGCTGAGCTCTGACGGGTTTTACCCTGGTGTAAAGCTGCAGAACAGGGGATGCAAAAATCCACAAGGCAGCAGCAGGTCTTTGTTACCCTGACTTGGCCATTAGCACAGCCCCTCTGCCTTCTTCAAGGCATTTTTACTGTTCTTTACTTCTCACCAAACACTGTAGACAAATCTTCACATTAGGTGAACAGAAAGCATTTATTCTCCTCCTTTTCTGAAAAGGTTAATTTTCAGAAGGACAACAAACATGGTTATAATTTACTGGATGTTTCAAGGACATATTGGACATTAATCACCTTTCACACAGATACTTTAAAGGGTATTAGGATTCATTTGGCAAAGCAGAAGTGTCCCTTCAGCCCACTTTTTTGTAATAAATTTGGACCGTATGAAGAAAAGCATTTCTTCATACAAAACAATTTGCTTTAATAGCTGTATAGTTAAGAGTTGTGGTATGCATCGGTACAGTTCTTCAGCTCAGGGACTGTCATCTTATTATCAATATTTCATTTCAAAGGCTTTTTAATTTCAGCTCTGCATATCATTTACAAAATTTGAAAAATGAGATTTGGATTCAGAAAACCCTTAGGGAATTGGTCTCACTTCTCTCTTCAAACATATCTGATGATTAAAGTTAATGCAGAGAGATTAGTAACCTTAAGACAGCCTGATGGCCAGTTGTTAGAATTTTTATCTCTAACAAACAAATGGTTTATATTTAGTGCAAACGCTTCAAAAGCTAGCCCCTGGCCTGAACAATAAAGGCATGCTAAAGCGAACAGCGCTTCATCACTGCTCGCATGTTGAGGGATTTTCTCTTTTTTATTGTCTAGAGGAATTTCAGATTCAACATCTTCCCTGTTCAATGCCCCTTCTTTCTTTCCCTCTCCCACAGTTACTGGACCTGTGGTGTTAATAAATGCTGATATTTTTCACTCATTTGTTAAACATCATAATGGGGCATTCTACCCCACTATTACTTTTCCCTCACTGGTGACATTTAATTTGTTATTCCAGCGATACTGCAAACCCATCACATTAAAATTTTAATTTAAAGAAAATGACAGCTTAATCTGCTAACTAAAAGCATGACTAATAATTTTTAAAATCACAGTAATTATGTAACATTACATGGTTTTACTGAAAAGCATAGCTGGATACCAGCTTCGTTTCTGTGCCAGTGCAAATCTCATGCAATTGGGCCATTGTATCCATGAAGTAAGACTTGCTTTGCACTGTTATCTGCCACCCAGGCCAAGAATCAGTCACCTCTGCCTAATACTTAAAATAGACCTTTACTGAAAACCATATTATGTTTCCCCTGTGTTTATCTCTCCACTTTTACACACAAACTCCCCCTCCTGCATATTCTCCTCTGCTGCGGCTCCTGCCTGCCTTCTCGGTAAGAGCCTCTATTCACAAGCCTTAGGGATTCTGCCCTAGGAGAAGTCCCCACACGGAGCTGAGCACAGTGCTGCCACCATCACGAGATGTTAAAGCCATACAGTTATTCCTAGGGCTCCCACTAATTTCAAGAAGAAACTCAAGTTAAAATGCATGGCATGCTCAAGAGATGGGTCCAGTCATGATCTCCAAAGCAGACAGGCTAGCCGCATCCCAAATACTTGATCAGTGAGCAGTGGCCAGGTTAAAACGTGAAGGGGTTTTAATCATCTTGGTCAAATTCTGCATGGAAAAATTTCCATTTCACTTTCTAGACTAGGAGGATGACTTTTCCTTCCGTTTGTTTTATTTTTTAACTCTGGAAAAAATGTGATAGATCAGGTGAAGTTTTCACTTCCCAACTGCACAGGACAGATGATCTTCAGTCCAAAAGACCATCACTGGAGTGAGTCCATATTTTAAAAGTATGTATGTATGCATGCCTGTAAGTGGTTCACAGGCATGGTATTAATGCAGATCTGGCTTATCTGAGGCCAGGATACTGGTCTAGTAACAGACTTTGACCCAGCCAGGAACATGGGGGCTCACCCATGTGCAGAACAAGGCTGGCAGGATGGGGTGTGCTTCTCAGCAGCAGTGGCGAGACAGGGACAGGTTTATACCACCTAGAAACCACACTCGAGACCTAATTTCATACAGACCATTCCCAAAGGAGATGCTCTTTAGCCCTCTGTCAATAGGACTGTGACACTGACCAAGAGTTACAAAACCTGGTGAAGGTTTTTGGGAAAGTAGACTTCCAGCGTCACAACAAGAAGCAGAAAGAGAAGGATTTAATCACAGAATCATAGATTACTGGGCTGGAGGGGACCTCAAGGATCATCTAGCCCAACCCTTTAAGGTAAAAAAACCACAGAAGTGAATGCAACTAGCAGCACTCATTAAATTCAGAAATGGAGTGAGAAGGGATGCAGAGACTTCCCCCACCACCCCATCCCTCCTGGCAAAAGGTCCTTGCAGTGCCAGAGAATCCTCCTAACACCCTGCATGGCATTTTCCAGCAGGGATTCACAGAAATGTTAGTAACAGGTTTCAGAGCAGCAACTGCAAATGCAGCGACTGACCTCCTGAGGCAGCTCCAGCTTGGAGCGGTCGGTCCCCTCCTTGGACTGCAGACCCATCAGATAGGGAACTGGAGCATCCAGAAAATGCAGGAGAGAGGCAGGAAGGATGGGGACATACACGTGTTGCCACTGAAATGGGAACAGCAGCGTCGTGATCCCCTCTGCCACTGTCATGAGACGTTGATAATCTACACAGGGAGAGAGAGAAATAGACATTGAATCACCTTTCTGTGTTTCACCTTGAAATCTGGTTGGCAAGGGCATAGGTGACAAAACATAAGAGAAACTATGTTTATATGGTAAGATGTTCTTTTGAAAATAAGAGAGTATTTAAAAACCTTAAACATTATTTAATTCGTCAAAATTCATTACTCCCAGGAAGAAACTGCTGAGCATAAATATTCATATCTTACCTAGACTTATCGCATCATTAAATTCATTTATTAAAAGGATACCAAAAATTCTCTCTATAGTACAGGATAATGATACTCTAATTCTATAAAAAGCATGTATTTCTACATGGGAAAAGGAGGAGAAAGAAGTGAACTCCATGGAAACATTGTGCTTTCTCTCTTGCTTCTGCCTGTCTGCTTCTGCTCCACTTGCTACTACTTCTAAGGCTGAGTGTACTTTCCAGAAGATTGCCTTGACCACAAACCAGCAGGAGTTTACAGTCCCTAAGTATTTAAAAGCACTGTTATTAAGTCAAATCCAAAGAGAAGCCTAATAGAAATTTAATTCTCAAAAATATTTTGTATAGCTAGTATACTTATATTGCATTGTTTTCCCAAATTTGTATTTAATCTACTAGTTCATTGCTTCATAACGTTTTTGGTTCAAGTTATCACATCACATATTATTTTTTAAATTATATTTTATTTCAATCCAGCTGAGCTGGAAGAATATTACAGAATTTGAATAAGAGCAAATTACTTCTCAAATATCCAGCTGGCATAATGCAATATGCCAACCTATTTATTAATACAAACGAGGGAATCAAAATATGAGAACAGGGTTGGGTTTTTTTAAAAAAAATCAAACCCCCTACACATTGGTATTAAGGAGATGGTCACCCATTCAGAGACACTCGAACAGCAGATGATCTGTCAGGAAACAGGTAAAGACCCCTGGACCTTGTAAGCTGCTGGTGAACGTGAAACGAGACGATCGCTTCTACTCCATATTACAGCTGCTTCTGCATTAGTAACATCTCCCCTCAAATTTCTAAAGAACATCAAAGTACTTAAACCCCAATTCCTTAAGAATCCTAACTTATCGCGAAGAAGCTGCACATCTGATTTAACGGTAGTGGTTAGAGACAGGAACACCAAAGTTTGTAAGTGACTCTGAAGTGTGGCACGGACGAGAAGAGTCAGTTCTGATTCCTGTCCTGGGCCCCCACCACTTGTGAACGCTGCTCTTCACTATTTGCAAAAGGAGCTGTTCCCCCAAGCCTCAGTGCATGCAGATATCATCAGTAACCAGCAAGAGTGGCAGAAGCGATGTCCCCTCCACAGTTGTATCCAAAACCAGTTCTCACCAGTGCCAGGCAAGTCTCGTGAGCTTTGCCTTGAGGAACCAAAAGATGTTCACTCTCATCAAGGCCAGATCCAAATCCCTGGTAACACCTGGGTTGCTGCCCATTCTCCTCGTCCCTCTGCCCCACTCCATGAAATTAAAGATATATGTATGAATACTCTGGCTTTGAGTTGGGTAAGAAGATGTTTTTCCTATAGCTCCAGTGATTGCTTTTGCCTGGACAGGAGCCCAGCCGGGCCCTTCCCACTTCCCGAAGAAGCCAGCTCGATGCCCTAGCAGACATCAAGAACAGCAAAAACGCTGTCATCTGCCACTGCTCAGATATTAGGAGGTCACTGGAAAGATGTATTTGAATAAATATGCAAATTAAAACAACAAATTGCATAACCCACTCTCCTTCTTGCTAGCATCTCTCTGTGGAATACCAGCCTCCATCTGCAGAAGGTCAGCCAGCAGGGCAAAAACATTTTTCATCTTGTCTCACTAATAGCTAGTCACTCAAACTCCAAACTGATTTTCATGTATACAAGTCAGTCTCAAGGTTACACCTCAAAACCATTCCCAGCTACAGATCAACCACTTATTAATCCCCACTCTGTGCAATGGTCTATAATTATACATGTCTATTGGCTGCCTTGTTGAGGGCCACTTATACAAACTCAGCTTACAACACTTACTGGTGAAACTTAGGTGTCTCAAGCAATTTATGAAAGCTTCAAAGGTTAAAAAAATCGAAGTAAAAAAATCAAGTAGCAAGTCTTACTATACATGAGATGTTTCGAAAGTCTGTTCTGATCTACAGAGTTATGTGAAATAACAGGTCTTCACAGCAAAGTGGCAAGTGTCTTTTTGGATAAGGGCATTCAACTCTGGAAACACATGCTTGCTCTTCTTTGATGCTACTGATAATATTTAACATGGTCACTAGCACAAGTTTTTATAACTGATATACTGTGAAGAAAACTGTTTGTAAAAAATACAGTGATGACCAAATTATTAGGCTAATTTTTACCATCTAGCAATGTTTGTTAGCGATTAGGAGAGGTAAAAAACATTTATGTACCCCATAGTTTTCACTGAATAGAAAGAAGTTCCCAGGTTCCTCCAGAAAAATATTAAAAAACCTGGAATGGTTCTTTTGATATGCATTTAATGAAATAAGAAACTCTAGTTACTTTGTATTTATTTTCAAGCCTGTACAAGGTTAGACACCTATCCTGTAAGGCATGAAGTCTTTTTTTCATGGAGACATTCTTGTACCTATCAGCATTTCAGGGAAGCTTATGTGGTTACTGAGGACAACCTGGAAAAAGGGATTCTTGCATTTCCCCAAAACACAGAGAGAAAAAGGGGAGGGAGAACAGAAAAAAGGAAGGAGGGACAGAACGGAAGTGGATAGAAAACCCAGGGTTTGTATAGACCGCGTATACCTGCGTGAAGAGAGAGAGTGCTTCCAGATCCTATCGCACCATCACTACTAGACTTCATAACAACCTCCAGCTGGAAGCCAAGTTTTGCCTGGCAACTTATAAATGACAGACCCAGGTAGGAAAACTATGTTCTGAACCTACTCCAACCTTTAGAGCTAGAATAGGGGATTAGATAGTATTTGCCAGTTTAGGGAGTGTCTTTTGAGAAAGACCTGTCTGTTGAGCAGAGCGAGGACACAACTGTCCTGCTTCCCATCCATCTGATATCAAACAACATCTGGGAAAGATACAAAAAGTAAAAACACTGTCTGCCACAAACTCAGCACCATGAATAGCTCAAATCAAGGCAATTTCCCGAGACCTGTGAAATATTTCCCTTCCTCTTCTTGGAGTTCACCCACCTCATGCGCTGTACACCACGCTGGACGCACTGAAAGGTCCTACAACACCAACAAGGCTGTTATGGACTGCTTTAAATGCACGAGCAGAAGGTCACAGCCCACAGAGATGGCCCACAGTAGCAGCTGCTGCCACCAGAGCAAAGATCTGATCTGTGCAAAATCACCTCTGGGTACAGAAATAAGTAGTGGACAGTGGAGTCCTAAGCTGAGGGCAGTGCCTCCCCTTCTCTTTGCTGCGCAGCCCGGGACACTGGAGAAAGGATCCAGAAGGTTTGGAGCCTTCTTGAATGTCCCAAACACCAGGCACGTTTCTCTGCACTGTGCAGGTGGGCTTTTAGTTTTAAATTTCTCTTACCCTGGATCTCCTTTCCATATGACTGCTACACTTCTCTTCTATGTATTGCTGTATCACCCTCTCACTTTCAGTTTTCATTTCTCCCCCCTCCCAAAGCAATAACAGCTTATACTGCAGTATTTATTTTGTTTGCAGCTACACCTGTAGCCCTCATTGAGGCTTTTTGGGACAGGGAACTACACTGTGTTCTCCAGCACAGGGAACACCATCAAACACAGCCCCTACTGCAAGATTTTCATGTTCAGAGTTAAATCTCTAATTTGTAGACAGGACATTTTCCAACAGAAACTGCTCAAGAAGGATAATCCCACAGCACAGTGGCCCCTATGGCTTCTATTGCAACTGCTGCTTCCTAACAACTGCTTAGCTGGATTTGGCAGGGGTCTGTTTCTCACACTTAACCTTTCTCCTAAGTGAAGAAGTGAGCAAGAGAGTCAAGTTCAAACACTTTGGATCCAACACCCTTTTCTGGCAGCATCTGCAGGGGGGCCCTTGGCCAAGTCTCTGCACTCCACTTTCCCACACAGGACGAGTAACCGCAACGGGGACCCGCTCCACCACGGGCTGGCAGCTCTGCAGCACAAGCACCAAGCTTCAGCTTTGCAAAGGTCTGGTAACATTCACACAGCTCACAAACCACAATATAATGTATAAAATGCAAACTCTGAGAGGTTCCTGTATAATAACAAATCACTATTTTGTTCTGGAGATGGAAATGGCTTCAGCATTTAATTATCAATTCACTATACATGGTTCTTCTGGAAGAGAAATATTTGTCTTTACGTTGATTCTTTGTAACACAATAACAGGACAATAACCAGTCAGCACAGTATTACAGCAGATACTGTGCATGCAGAAATATCTATTCCAAAGAGCTTAAAGTCCAAAGACAGGCAGTGACTGAGAAAACAAAAAATAATCCTTCTCCTTTCATTTTACAGATTGGGTATAGGAGCTCTGAGATGTTAAGCAAATCACAAAGCTCAACATAAAAAACTACTTTTCCTGCTACTAAGAAGTCTGATATCTCAAAATCCTTTCCATTCTGCAGCAAAGCCAAACCAAGATCCTTTGAGAGGGGAAAGGAACATAAATGTTATCCCTGCCCAGAACAGCTAGGACCTCCCCAGTGCAGGTGCTGCCTCCCAAACAGGTTCAAATTCTTTGGCTATAATCAAAGAGAAGGGAATTTCACCTGAGACCCTCTCAGCAAATGCCCAACCACAGCACTTCTGAGTATAAAGGCCTGTGTAAGAGCACACACACCCTCATTCAAACCAGAAAGGGTGTTCTTGCTGTGATCAGGGCACTGTTATTTCAGTTTCAACACACCCAGCCTTCCTGATGAAAGAACAATTCGGCAGTTTTCCAACTCTCTGTTCCAGTAACCTACCAAAGGTAAGGTAGAAAGCCTACCGTGGAGCTGGAGTCTCAGCCTGGATCTTCTAAATCCAGTACAACAC